GGCCCTGGAGCTGCCCCTGCACACGAGACTGTGACACGGCAACAGAGTGCGAGGCACAGCTCCGGGTGCTCCCCGTGAACCTCAGCTCTGGGACCACTGTCTGCCCCAAGCTTCAGGGGCTGCAGGGGGAGCCCGGCTGGGCTCTGCCCTGGGGCCATCCTGCAGGGACAGCTGCACACAGGGAGCATTCCCTGCCACAAAGAGCCAAGCCAGGGCTGCAGGGCAGCTGCTCCAGCCCCGACTGCACTGCTGAGTGCTGTGCTCTGGGGCTGGGGCTCCCCGCACAGGGGACTGCACTGGTGTGCCAGAGGAGACAGAGAAGCTGCAGCTTCAGCCTAACTGAGGTGGGTGCGTGGGCTGGGAAGAGTGGGGAGGCTCAAGGGGATTCACAGAGCTCATCCTGCTGCAAGGACGAGGAAAAGGGAGTGGGAACTCAGCAGTGAGGAGAGCTGGGGGCTGAAGAGCAGCTCTGAATGACACTAAAATCCCACCGGACCTCTGAGACATTGCTGCTCCTCAGCCAGTGACAGGATGAGTCCCTAAGCCTGGGGCTCGGCCTTCCTCATGGTGAGGGGCACCAAGGAAGGCAACAGTGTGATGGAGACTGGAATGGGCTGGGAACTCACTGGGGGAAAAGAGGGAGCAGTTGGGAAGTAAAAGGCAGGTGGGGGAGAGAACAGTTCAGAGAAGGGCTGAGCTACAGCTTGAGCAAGCTGCAAAACGTCATTTGGGGTCATCCCAGATTGATTTCATTTCAGAAGTTATTGAACAAGTATATGCTTTGAGTGGTGCCATGTTTTACCTTGGAGGTGTACACTCTGCAAACTTGAGCTGTGCTGCTGAAATGCTCAAGCAAGTCTGTGCTGCAGGTCACCCCATTTCTCCTTTGGCTGATTGTGGCACGGTGCTGAGCTCCAGCAGAGCCCTGGCAGAGCCCAGAGCAGCCTCAGCACCCGCAGAGCCCGGCTGCAAGGAGAGAAACCAGAAAGCCCCGTCTAAAGCCAGGGAATCTCAGAAACACGGAAAGCTGGATAAGACAAACGCAGGTTCAAACCAATGTGGTTCATCAAGCGTTCTCCGTTTATTCAAGATAAGGTGGTAGTTTATATAAGCTTCCACATAGTTTACAAAAACAAAGACACTCTAATTGGTAGGCTAACATTGTTTAACTTTTCCTTAAAACGGCCTACACTTTACACCATAAAACCTATACTAATTCACACCCAAGCAACCCAGTGGTCCCCACAACACCTTAAGACTATTTTCTATCTGCGCCACAAGCTCTGAATTTCTAACTGCGTCAGAGGCTTGAAGGCCCCACCAGGCCTCAATCTGAGGCCTAGACTGGAGTAGCTCAACTTTCACAATTCATGTCCTCTTTCTCTCAAAAATGCTGCAACAATTCCCTCTTTTTCTTTTTGAGCTACTCAGGCTGGAGTGAAGGCGCAATGAACTAATTTTTGCACACACTGTAAAAAACACGGTATAACAATTAAAATAACTATAAAGATAAAAAAAGTACAATACCAAAACGAATTAAATCTTTGACTCAGCCAAAAAACCTAAAAAATTGAGCCAGTTATCAAATTGAGTGTCCACTACGATAAGTTTTTTTTTCTCATGTTGTCCTTCAATTGCATTAACTGTTTATAAATCGATTGAGAATGGTCAGACAATTCATGCAGCACATGCCCTCAAATTCTTCGCACCCATGTCTTTGTGCTAAAAGAAGGAAATCAATTGCAGATCTGTTTTGTAGAACCGCATGACGGGTATCGTCTACATCTGCAGCAAGCTCACTTATCAATTTAGATGTGATATTAATTTGTTTTCCTGTCCAGCAGGCTAGAGTTCTCAATTGTGTGAGCGCTTTTGATGAGGCGACCCCTGGGGCAAAGAGTGAGGCTACTGCTACAGAGGCACGCCCCCACAATGACACTATATCTTTACAATTAGGGTCCATTTGGAGAACACTGCGTTTGGCTCGTTGAGTCTTCTGAGGCAATTCGAGAACCTGATGTATGGTGGGAGCAAAAAGCGTCAACCTACCGATATAACATGGGCCTCCCCTAGCATTCTGAGGGACTGCTGACCAGGCTCGGTCCCCACAAATGAGGAAGGTTCCTGGGGGCAGTTTTCCTGCACCACCTCTTGGTGGTGTCACAGATTGAGTCGAATTGTTACAATATTCTGAATAGTCGTAATACAATGGTGATCTGGGAGACAACCAAGTGTCGTCATCTGTCAATTTTCCATTTTCTTGAGTTGGTTTGGTAGCATAAGATCCAAATATCAAACAGTAATTTCCTGGGACAGAACCCAAAAGATCAAATTCTTGAAGACTGTCGTCAGTAAATTTAAGGTTTTGCACAAATGCAACAGCTTGCGCTCCCAGAGTGCTATTTAGATTTATTTGAGCTCGGGTCCAAGTTTTGAACTCTGCAATGGGACCCAATGAGATTCCAATTTAACAAGTACGAAAAGGGGTTAGACGGTGTGGCTAACAACAGGCAGAATTAATCTTGCCTAGTTTGTTTGGCCCAAGTGATCCACATATTTTCTCTTTTTGTCAATGTCAAGGATTTCAGATACTTCAACAACCAAAATACTGCTTAATAAAAACATTGAGGCCTACCACATATTTCTCAGGTTTTTGAATGCCCTGTTTAACATGAAAGAAACAAACTTAATTCTAAACATAAACTATAACTTCTAATAAACTAACTTCTGATAAATCTAACTTCACACTTCTGATATTTCGACTTATTTCTCTGTACTCTAAAAAATTAATTTTCATCAGAACTGGATTCATCACGGGATGTTCCAGGCAAACTGTTGTCGTTGACGTTGTTATCACTGCGGGTTGGTATCTTTTTCATCTATTTTTAAAATTCTGTCTCTGCCTTTTTGTATCAATGCAGCAAGAGCATCTGTCCTGCCCATCTATAACATCATTAAGAACACACTTATTAAAAAAAAACTCAAAGCCCACGATCTTCTGTGGGTGAAACACAAATCTTTGCACAATCCACTTTTGCTGTGCATCCTCTGATCCACTTGTGGAGAGATCAGTTGCTCTCTTGCAATTAATAAGTTCCACATTCTTCACTGAAATCCATCCAGATTCTGCACCTGTTAAAACACAAACAAACCCAACACCCCCACAGGGAATGGAGGGTCCTCTCTCAATTCTGTTCCCTAAAACTTGCATGAAGAAATGGAAATATCAACATCTTTGTTATAAACATGAAAAAACATCAAGAACAAAACAATGCACATAGTAAAGAAACTAACAACAAATAAAAATCAATCAGATAATAAACAATTAATATTACATATAAAATCACAGTTACCAAGTGCTACACTATCAAATTGTCATCCCAGAGTCTGCCGCAGCTGACAAACGTTAAAACAACAGAGATTTGGATAAAACATGTCCGGATCATGTCTCTCCAAAACTCCCTTTGAGGCTCAGCTGTCCTATATGGTCAAATTGTCAAGCCAAAAGGACTTGAATACTTTTTGATGCAGGAAACACCTGGGTCAATGACACCATCCACGTAGAGGCAGAGCTTGGCCAGAGCTCAAACTCTAATTGGAGGATATGTTTAAAACAAAAGTCTTAGAAATAACAGTTATAAGTAAAAAAACTTATTATTAAAAATTTATCAAACCATCAAATAATTGAACCTGTCTAAAATTTCTTTCAAGACAAAAATTCTCTAAATACAACAAACTTTTTCTTCAGAAATCTAAAAATTTGAAGTCTGAAATCTTGAACCAAAACTTGGACTATAAATTTGTAAAAGAAGATAAATTGCAGCTGCATAGAAGATTGAACAAAAAAAAATCACATGAGTAATTAAAAAGTCAAAAACACAGGATCCTGAAAAAACACATCTTGTAATCAATCACCTAAAAAGACAATAAAACATATGAAAACTGACTGTAAATATTAAAACAACACCTCAATACCTTAACATCTTAATAATAATTCTTATCTCAAAAATCAGACAACTTACATTATATGATCAACTGTAACGACGTGTATTTGTATTCCACGGACAGATTCAGGCGAGATCTCTGTGGTTGCTCTTGGGGGAAGAGGTTTATTCAGGATACATTTGTGACCCTGCCTCGAGCTGTCAGACACAGCACGTGGCTGGGCCTCGGGTGATGGGGGAGGGGAGAGACAGAGAGGAGAGCAGGGACTCCCGGAGGACTCTCCAGGAGGGGAAGGGAAGATCCAAGAGGGCGTCCAGCCCCCTGGAGACCCCTTATCAAGGGGGGCTCCAGGGTGGGCTGGAACAGGACCTGGGCCAATGGGGTCACAGGCACCTGATGGTTCAGGGGAGGGTTACAGATGTGGGGTGAACCATACATTCTGGGGGGTGACATGGGAGAATCCATTCGGCTTTTGGACCCCGCTGAAGGTGAGGGTGATTGTCCAGCCAGTAGGGGGCGTTATATTCGTCCTGGCTGTACCATTGTGGTTCTTAATCATATTTATCTACCCTCCCCAACATCTCCCCCTTTTTCACTGAACCATTTGAAATATTAAATATTGATTTAACAACTATTTTCTGCACACTTGGAGGTGTACAGGGTATTGTTACTAGAACTATACTTATTGCTACTGAAACAGTCAAGCTTATTTTACAGAGTTCCTTTAGCCAAGGAGCAAGGCTTAAACTATTAAGTAAACTGTATAGCTGAGATGACCTTATTGTTATTAAATCACTGATTATAGTAGGGGAGGCATTGTCAGAATTTTTTTTTTTTTTTTTTTTGGAAAAGGTCTTATAATTAAACGGGTTGAAAAAGGTTTGTTAGGGTTTGTGTTAGATATGTAGGTGGTCTTAGAGCTTGCAGGCTTGGCTAAAGCTACTCGGCATTTGTCCTTGGTTGAATTATAAGTAAAACTTCAATATAAAAACTGAAACAGAAGAACAAAAACAATATGCACGCATTAAACGATAGAAAGTCCATTTTTCTCTCGATGACGCAGCGTGGTTCAGGTCTGGGTGCTGGCTTCTTGGCTTGTGCTTGTAGAGGAACTGTCTGGTGTGGGGGTGTCAGCAGATTTCGGTGCGTGGTAAGGCTTTACATTCTTTCTTGGGACCAACTTGAGTCGTCCACCTGTGGAAACACAAGAAAAACCTTTCCCCCACGTTAGAAGACTGTGTGGACTTTGTATATGTCCTGAATCTAAGATTTTGGGTAAAGCTGGGGGGTGCCCTTTTATTTTTACTTTTTTGGTGTTCAGGAAATGTCTATAAATTTGGAGGCGAGGCTCTCTTGCAGAGCTACTTAGAAAATTGTGAGCATATAGAGCTCTATTCAACCTCTTTTGAGGTGTAGCCTGATCTACTCCCCCTTTCTTTAGATTTGAGATGTGTTTTAGGGCTTGGCGTGTTTTTTCTATGGTACCTTTTAACAGTGGTGTAAAATAGGAAAAGGAGATACCACTGTCCTTGAGTACTGGTAGGACTTCTTTAACTTCCTGAGAGGGGACAGCTGTTCGCTGGCTGTGTAGCACTTGCAAGGCTTGGGGGTGCAGACTGTTGTCTTTGCAGCTATTATATTTGATTTCAGGGCAGTTTTTCAGTTGAAGATTGCTGGCACTTTGTTGAGAATTTGGTGAGACTGGGATAGAAAGGTTAGAGTTTGCAGGGGTAACATAGTTCTCTGTCTGTTCTTTGTTTGTAGAAGCTGCAGTTACAATGTTGCTTTCACCTTGTCGAGGCATGGTGTCTCCGTCAGGGTGTGGTGAGAAGCTGTTAGTGTGGGAGGCAGGGGCTGCTGCCAGGTGAGGCAGAGGAGCAGGAGGGGTGGAGGTCGGGGGCAGCAGCGCTTTTGTGGGACTGGCATTTTCGGAAAGATTTCTTGTATCTGTGGCATTGGGTGCTGTGGCAGTCTGAAGATCCGGCGGAGGGAGAGATGCGGAGGGATATGATGATGGTTTCGGCAAACCAGGAAGTGGTGCCGGCAATGGGGGGTTCCGGAGTTCTGTAGCCAGAGGCAGGGGCTGCGGCGCCGCGGGGGGGTGGGGGGGTGGGGACGCCGGGTTTGCGTCTGCCGGGGGGGCTAGCCGCGAGTCCAGGAGGCGGGGGGGCAGCGGGGGTACCGCGCCGGACCCCGGGGCGTCCCTGGGAAGGACGGGCGGTGCCGCGGCCGCAGGGGCGGGGTCTGGGCTGCGCGAGGGAGAGGAGGTGGAGGCAGGGGCGGGGTCAGGCCCGCGCGAGAGGGGGGCGGCGGCCGCGGGGGCGGGGTCTGGACCGCGGGGGAGGGGGGCGGCGGCCGCGGGGGCGGGGTCAGGGCTGCGCGGGGGGGAGGCGGCGGCCCCGGGAGTGGGGGCCGCCCAGCCCAGGGCCGGCGCATGGCCGGCGTGTTCGCCGGACCAGGGGACTTCCGGGTGGGTCGGGGGGGCGGCCGCGGAGGCCAGCGTCTGCAGCTTTTGCAAAATCGCAGCTGACGCTTGAAATTGTGCTTGTAAAATAGCCATTGACTGGGTTTGTGCTTGCAAAATGGCTGTTGTTTGATTTTGTAAAAGTTCGGCTATAGTAGCCATCATAGCCGGGACAGGCAATGGTGGGGGGGCGGGCGGGGGGGAGGCGGGGCCCGCGGAGTGGTTTGGGGGGGAGGAGGTGGCCGCAAGGGCGGGTTCTGGGTTGCGGGTGAGGGGGGGGGCGGCTGCGGCGGGGAGCGCCGCTCGCTCAGAAACCGGCGAGTCGCTAGCTGCCTCGCCGGCATTCTCGCCGCAGCGCGGGGTGGGGGTGCAGTCCGGCAGGGATTGTTGAGCCACGGCGGGGAGCGGTTTGGCTGCTATCTGCGGCTTTTGAGAAGCGCAGATTCCTGTCAACACTCTATAAGCAGGGAGCAACTCGCAAGCATAGGGGTCCCGCCGTGAAATGTCGTTAAACAGTGTATGTCCCACGGACTCCCAAAAGTCTCCACAAAACACAGCAGAGCGCTCGGCATATGGGAACTTAAGTAAGATCCATTCTAGGAGTTTTCGTAGCTCTTTTTTAGGCAAATTACTATTATGGCTACGTAATAAGTGGTTAAGTTGCTTATAGAGATCTCTATCAGCTGCAGAGTGGGACTGTCCCATTTTTAAACCAGTGTGGCTCACCTCGGTGTCGCAGGAGCGGGATCCTCTGTCAGGTTCCGACGTTTACTGCAGTCGGTGCTGAGGTCACCGCGGGGTTTCTCCAGAGCTTCAGCGCGGGCAGTGCTAAGCAGTGCTCGCCTGTGCTTTGTGTACGTGGCCACGTGGCGCGGCAAGTCTCGTCACAAAGCCTTGGGTCGCCGCGGAATCGCGGCGATCTCTTGTGCTCGGAGAATAATGGCCAGAAGTCGTATAAGGGCTCTAATAGCTCGCTACTATGTAACGAGTCGCTGAGCTGTACGACGGCTTCGGGACTTTTTAAAGAGCTCCGGTTCGTTACTGCCTAGCAGCAGAATGCCGTGCTCGCGACCACGATGGCGAGGAAATACCTGGTTATATAGTTAGTGTCCATGGAAAGGTGTCCTACAGGTAGAAAAGCTGGAAAGCATCCAGACGGGTGCAGTTGCAGGTCACCGTGGGTTCGTATTCGACGATGGGCGCCAGTCTGTAACGACGTGTATTTGTATTCCACGGACAGATTCAGGCGAGATCTCTGTGGTTGCTCTTGGGGGAAGAGGTTTATTCAGGATACATTTGTGACCCTGCCTCGAGCTGTCAGACACAGCACGTGGCTGGGCCTCGGGTGATGGGGGAGGGGAGAGACAGAGAGGAGAGCAGGGACTCCCGGAGGACTCTCCAGGAGGGGAAGGGAAGATCCAAGAGGGCGTCCAGCCCCCTGGAGACCCCTTATCAAGGGGGGCTCCAGGGTGGGCTGGAACAGGACCTGGGCCAATGGGGTCACAGGCACCTGATGGTTCAGGGGAGGGTTACAGATGTGGGGTGAACCATACATTCTGGGGGGTGACATGGGAGAATCCATTCGGCTTTTGGACCCCGCTGAAGGTGAGGGTGATTGTCCAGCCAGTAGGGGGCGTTATATTCGTCCTGGCTGTACCATTGTGGTTCTTAATCATATTTATCTACCCTCCCCAACAATCAACTTATCAACAAGAAATGTTTAAAATAGTTTAAGACAATCTTTTCAAAGCATTCATATAACATTAGTAACAATCACTACTTATCTTTACCTACAAAACTTGACAATCATCATTTATCTTATTATCTATAAAACTCAAAAATCATCATTACCTATCTTATTATCTATAAAAACTCAAAACCAGAAATTGTGAACTCAATGCCAACATTCCATCTGACTGACTCTTCTCAAATCTTTGTTTTCAGAGACATTTTTGGCAATTAAATCATTATTAACATTTCTATCTTTATACAGTGATTTTCATCTATATTGTATTTGAAATAACATTGATTTGCATAATGTCTGTCCCTCTTGGTATCTTGGAAAACACTCGGTACTGCTATACTTTTTCATTACGTCTTCTGACTTTTGCAAGGAATTGGGAAAATGCTGTTGAAATTTTTGCTGTGGTGTTGCAATCTCTCCATTGGTGACACTGCTGCTCTCGGCGTTGTCGTTACCGTGGCAACCAGGCTGTGCAGCGTCTCCGCCGCCATTGCTGGGTGCTGCGGGGAGATGAGGGGGGCGGCGCCGTCTCGCTCCCGTCCTTGCTGCGTCACTGTGGGGACGGGAGAGGAGACGCCCCTGATGCGGCCGCGCCCCGCCTGCTCCGACTCCAGCGCGGCCGAGCCCCCGGGAACGCCCATCTCCCTCCTCGCGTTGTTGCTCAGCAACAAGGAGCCTTCTGTCTCTCGGCTGAAGTCCGCTCCGCCCCGGGGCCGCCTCAGGCTCGGTGCTGGCCGGCCCTGCTCTGCCTGGCCCCGCTCTGCCTGGCCCCGCTCTGCGATCCGCCCGGGCGGTTGGCCGGTGCTCACCGCCGCACCCTGCTGCTCTCCGCCACAGCCCGTTGCCTTAGTTCTGCCAACCCGTTCCACAAGGGACGAGGAAGGGCTTTCTGTAACTTTTTCTTGCCTTTGTATCTTGTTTTGTGATCGCTTGTTCCTGCTACAATTGACATGCCGCGCTGGGTTGCTCGCCGCCGCTGCCGCTGCTGCGGGGGTCGAGGGGGCCAGCACAGCTTCTCTCCCGCCTCCGCGTTCTATCACTGCGTCCCAAAGCAGCTGCCCCAGCTCTTGCCATGCGATTTTACTAAAAATCAGCGAAGGCTTTTGCAGCTTGCCTTTGTTTCTTGCCCACAGAACCAACTGTTCCAAATCGGCTTCTTTAATCTGTTCAGCTCTCTTTGAGAGAATATGAAAGAGAAGCTGCACGGAAGCCTGGAGATCCCTATCCAAATCAAGCCCTTTAAATTGCCTCCGTCTGAGAAAGGAGGTGAAAAGGTTCTATGCTGCTTGCCTATCCATTATTCACGTCAGCGCTGTTGCAGATCTTCTAGGCTTTGGCAGCACGTATCGGCTGAGCTCACCGCTGTGGTCACTCAGATCGCGGCACCAGGTAGTGGAGCTTAATCGCCGTCCGTCTAGCTGCGGGACACGACCCCAACGCAAATGTCTCACAGATCCAGGCGGGGGGGTCCCATCCGTTCGGGCGCCAGATGTTGGTGAGATTGTCGTGGGAGACAAGCCTCATGCTGTCATGATCAACAAGTCTCAGTTTATTGGAGTAGATTACAGTTTCTTTATACAAGCACTAATTAGTTCATACATATTGCAAAAGCGAACCTCAGGATTGGTTACCTTTCTATTAACACATATATCTCTTTGCGATAAACCTTGCAGTTACTGCTTCTTATACTTGATTATCTTTCTGCATACTAAGCAATTTTACATCTTGGTTGTTAGGGAGACATCTGTATGTTCAAGGTTGTTAGGGGACATCTGTTTCTCAAGGTTGTTTTCATGCTACAAGTCACGTATTCTCACACTCTTATCAACTTAACCCTTTAGTGTCCCTTGCTGCGCAGCCATTCTTCAGCTAAACACTCGACAGATTGTGAAGAGTCCTTTTCTCCCAGCCCGCGCGGGCAGAGAAGGAGTCGAGATGCGGAGCTTTGCTTCTCAGGGACGTTTATTTTCCCTTTTCTCTAACAGCTTTGTCCGCTCTGCTGAGCTCTGTCTAGCAGGTCGGTCTGTGGCAGTCTCCCTGCCCTCAGGGCGCTGTTTGCCTTCTACACTAAAAACTACCTGTACTGTGTTTACAGTAACGTGCCAATATCTATCATTTATGCTGGACAGTGTGTCTCTACCTTCAACCAACAGAAAAGTGTCACCATCACAGCAAGACATGGAGGGCAAAAAGAAGGAGAAGAAGCTCAGGACACACCCAGATCCCTCCACCTTGTCCCATTGAACCCCGTATTTTAAAGTGTTAAAATTCTACTTTTCCACCCTGTGTTAATTCACCTACCACGCTACTCAAACCCTTGTGCCTTGTAATTCCTCATACAAAGTTGGCAATTTTCTCCAGGGGCTAAAACCAAAGCCACCGGTGTTCTTGACACCATGCCAAGGTCTCCGAGGCCCCTGCCAGGGTCTCGAGCCATCCAGGGCAGCCAGAGGGATGTCCTGGATTCTGACACCCCCCAATTACCGAGCAGTGGGAGCCCCCCGGGCACTGCCCGCCACTCACTAAGCACCGGGATAGGGACCAGACCGCCCTCGAACCCTGGGAACCCCACAAGCACCAGGACCCCCCAGGCAGCGCCACCCCCGTGCACCGGGACAGGGACCGGGCCCCCCTCGTGCACCGACCCCGCCGAGCACTGGGCCCGGACCCCCTTTGTGCCCCCCATCCATGACGGAGGTTCCATCCCCTCCGCTTTGACCCCCCAGAGCCGCGGGACCCCCAGGAACAGTGCAGGGACTGTGGGAGACCCCAAGGGCTGGGGGGGCACGGGGTGTTCACCAGAACTAGGGGAGTCCCTTAGGATTTGGTCCTTTCCCCCCCGTTGTCTCCCAGGACCCCCTGTTATCATCAGTGCCCCCCCCCAGTTTATTCGGACCCCCCCCATTCACTGCTTCCCCCCTTCCCTGACTCCCCCAAAGCGCTGGGACCCCCCGAGCTATGAGCCCCCCACAGTGCGCCAGGACCCCCCACTCACCTCCCATCCCCCATCCATGGGAACACCCCCAAATCACAGCAGCACAAGGAGAAGAAGCCAAAACCTTCCCCACACCCAACAGGGATCACCAGGACCACAGATCAGCAGGGCTCTGCCCCACGGGGGTCACTGGGGATCATCCAGCCCAGATCCTCCCATGGGGGATGGAGCTGCAGCAGTGCACCAAGCTCTTCCCTCACTCTCTTCCCTCACTCCAAGCTCTTCCCTCACTCCAAGCTCTTCCCTCACTCTCTTCCCTCACTCCAAGCTCTCCCTCACTCGGGGCACTCACAGGGCTTTCCTACTGGTGCCTCCGTTGGTGCTGGGTCAAGATTGAGCTCCTGGAGAAGCTCTTCCTACACTCCCCACACTCGTAGGGCCTCTCCCCAGTGTGGATGCGCCGATGCACAGTGAGGTGTGAGTTGCGGTTGAAGCCCTTCCCGCAGTCGGGGCAGCGGAAGGGCCTCTCCTCTGTGTGAATCCGCTCATGTCTGTGGAGATGGGAGCTGGTCCGAAACCTCTTCCCACACTGGGGACACTCGTAGGGCCTCTCCCTGGTGTGGATGCGCTGGTGTGTTCTCAGGTGTGAGCTCTGCCCAAAGCTCTTCCCACATTCCAAGCACTCATAGGGCCGTTCCCCAGTGTGGATCACCTGGTGCGCCATCAGGCCAGACTTGTGTCTGAAACCCTTCCCACACTTCCCACACTCGTAGGGCCTCTCCCCAGTGTGGATGCGCTGGTGTCTTCTCAGGTCTGAGCTCCACCCAAACCTCTTCCCACACTGGGGACACTCATAGGGCCTCTCCCCAGTGTGGATAGTCTGGTGCTGGATCAGGTGGTCGCTCCGACTGAAACCCTTCCCACATTCCAAGCACTTGTGGGGCTTCTCCCTGCCATGAGGCTTCTCCACCAGCTCTGAGCTCCGGCTGGATCTCCGCCCGCCTTCCTGGCTCAGGGGGGCTCTTTCCTCCCCGCAGCTCCCTGGGCTGGGTTTGCAGCTCCTCCTCCTGCAGGATCTCGAGGGCTTTTCCTCCTCCTCCATCCAGCCACGCCTAGGGAATGAAAAATCCTGGTTTGGGGAAAAAAACAAGAGGAGAGCACCTTGGACTCGAGGTTCCTCCGTGCTCCAGTTCATCTCAGGAAGTCATTGAGAATCTTGTGTCTGTAAGAACCTCCAAAACACCAAGATTTAGCCCAAAAATCCCACAAACTTCAAGATACAGATCAAGAACTCCCCAA